AACAAACAACTGCACCTCCCAGTCGCGAACCATTTCAACTCCCCCTCCCATTCCTCAGACGACATGTCCATCCTGGGCCTCCTGCAGTGCCACAACGATGCCACCCGAAGGTTGCAGGAACAGCAACTCATATTCCGCTTGGGAACCCTGCAGCCCAATGGTATCAATGTGGATTTCACAAGTTTCAAAATCTCCCCTCCCCCTACCGCATCCCAAAACCAGTCCAGCTCGTCCCTGCCTCCCTAACCTGTTCTTCCTCCCACCTATCCCCTCCTCCCACCTCAAGCCGCACCTCCATCTCCTACCGACCAACCTCATCCCGCCCCCTTGACCTGTCCGTCCTCCCTGGACTGACCTGTCCCCTTCCTAACTCCCTACCTACACTCACCTTTACTGGCTCCATCCCCGCCTCTTCGACCTGTTTGTTTCCTCTCCACCTATCCTCTCCTCTATCCCTCTTCTATCCGCCTCCCACTCTCTCCCTATTTATTTCAAAACCCCCTTGCCCTCCCCCTTTTCTGATGAAGGGTCTAGGCCCGAAACGTCAGCCTCTCTGCTCCTATGATGCTGCTTGGCCTGCTGTGTTCATCCAGCCCTGCACCTTGTTGTCTCGGATTCTCCAGCATCTGCAGTTCCTACTATCTCTGAGTCATTATTTGGCTACTCTGCCACTCCCTTGGTTCTGTCCGAGTGTTAGGTTGAGTCATGTGCTCAAATGTCTGGAGGCAGACACTAAGACGGTCCTTGTCCCAAAAATCCTCTGGATTAAAAACAACTATTTTTTTCCCTGTTGGCAAACGAATGTGAGGAATGTGTCACAGAGTTAGCACTGCCTGTTTCATTTTGTTTAGGAGGGAGGAGTCCTTGTTTGAGCTATAATAATTTGAGATGATGCATTTTTGTGGCCTGTAAAAACAAAATAAATTCCAATTACAATTCTGTGATGGGAGAATATATTCTTGATGCAAATTTGACAGATGATCATCTGTGAGCTGTAGCATAAAGGGTCTGTCCCTTTTAAGAAATGTTATTAAATGTTAAATGATTGAGGCTGGTGGGAGAACAGTTCTGGGTAGACTTTTCCATCACACCTCCTAGGACAGGCGCAAGAAGGTGTAAAAACAGGCGGTTTTGAGGTGCAACTCTTCATTGAGTCATAGAGTCAAACATCATAGAAACAAGCCCTTTGGCCCACCATGTCTATGTCAACCAGCAAACACCAAATTACATGAATCCCATTTAGCCGCAACTGATTCACAGCCTACTATGCCCTGGCACTTAAAATACTTATGCAAATGTTTCTTTAATGTTGTGAGAGTACCTCCGTCCACCACTCTCTCAGGTAGCACATTCCACATTTCTATCGCCCTTTGGATGAAACCATTTTCCTCAGAACTCGTATAAACCACATATTCCTCATCTGGTCCTCTTGTGCCCTCTGGTCTTAGACACGTCAGCCATGGGGAAAAGATTCTCATGTTTTACCCAATCTATGCATCTCATCATTTTGTATACCTCAATCAGATCCACCATCAGCTTCATCTGCTCCAAGGAAAACAAACCCAGCCTATCCATTCTCTCCTCATACATGAGTCTTTTTATCCCAGGCAGCATCCTGGTGAGAGATAGTAGGAACTGCAGATGCTGGAGAACCTGAGATACCAAGGTGTAGAGCTGGATGAACACAGCAGGCCAAGCAGCATCAGAGGAGCAGGAAGGCTGACGTTTCGGGCCTAGACACTTCTTCAGAAATGGGGGAGGGGAAGGGGGTTCTGAAATAAATAGGGAGAGAGGGGGAGGCAGATAGAAGATGGATAGAGGAGAAGATAGGTGGAGAGGAGACAGACAGGTCAAAGAGGCGGGCATAGAGCCAGTAAAGGTGAGTGTAGGTGGAGAGTTAGGGAGGAGATAGGTCAGTCCAGGGAGGACGGACAGGTCAAGGGGGTGGGATGAGGTTAGTAGGTAGGAGATGGGGGTGGGGCTTGAGATGGGAGGAGGGGATAGGTGGGAGGAAGGACAGGTTAGGGAGGCGGGGACAAGCTGGGCTGGTTTTGGGATGCGGTTGGGGGAGGGGAGATTTTGAAGCTTGTGAAGTCCACATTGATACCATTGTTCATTCAGCTCTACACCTTGGTATCTCAGCATCCTGCTGAATTTTCTTTGCATCCTCTCCAATGCAATCACGTCCTTCTAATGGTGTGATGACCAGAACCACACATGATACTCCACCTGTGGTCTAACTAATGTTTTATAAAGTCATAACAAGACTTTCTTGTTCCTGGATTCTACACCCAAGCTTATGAAGGCAGTCATCCTGTATGCCTTATTCACAACCATCTGTTTACCTGTGCTGGCACCTTCAGAGATCTATGGACTTGTACACCAAGATCCAAATATTCCTCAGAACTCCCTCAGGACCTACCATTCGTTGTATTTGTCCTTCCCCTGTTAGACTTTTAATAAATACACCTATCTTGCTGCCATTGGAATTGTATCTGTCCCTTCAATGGGTCAGTTGAGGTCTTGAGCCCCTAAGTAGTCAAGGACAACCTCCAGCTTTAGTATTATTTCACTAGCAGTCACCGTGCAAAGCAATAAGATGAACTCTAATGACTTGGTTGTGGTTTGGCAATTGGTCCCTACTCTTCAGGTTCCTGTGCCAAATGGATGTGCCCTCAGGACTTGGTTGTCCCACCTGCTCAGTGGTATGCACTCGACACTGCCCTCCCAATTGCAGCAAACTTCAACCCTCCCACTGGGACCTGTCTGTCTCACTCAAATGAAACCCCTTCCACTTAGACCTAGGTATATAACTCCAGCGATGAAGCTGTATTGAGTCAAACGGCACAGAAGAGGACCTTCAGCCCATTGAGTCTGTGCTGACCTATCTACATGAATCCCATTTGCTAACACTTGGCCCATAGCCTTGAATGTTATGACATTTCATGTGCTCATTTAAGTTTTTTTTTAAAGTTTGTGACATTTCTTGCCTCAACAGTCCTCCCTGTCTGTGCGTCCATCACCCTCTTGGTGAACAAAACCTTTCCTCAAATTCCTCTAAATGTCCTGTCCTTAAATGTATGAAGTAATGCCCCCTTGTTTTTGACTCTTCAATTCAGGGGAACAGCTGCTTCCTGTCCAAGGGTACCTAATGGCTCTGCTGGAAAACTGAAGGTCTGCTAGCTATCTGATTGACCTGCAACTTTCCTAGAGGTGGGACTTCCTGTAGGATGGGCAGAAGTCCCAATCTGAGCCTAATGAGAAAATGACGACTGTTAAATCAGCTCAGGGATTTGTGGCTTTGCAGTGACATTCTCAAGACCCAACTTAGCAGCTTTTGGGCAGGACCATTGTTTCAAATAGAAAGAATGAAGCTGTAGAGTGGGCTTTTGAGTCAAATTGAAAAGAACAGTCAAACATTTGCTATCTGAATCTAAAAGTGGAGTTTAAATGAAAGTGGGATTTAGCAGCCTGTTGTGTTTTGGTTCCAAATCCAGCTTAGATGCAAAAGCTAAAGGATAAAGTTTTCCCTTTCCAGGAATGTTTTCTTGCTGCATGACATAAGAAGTGCATGATAAGTTTTTAAATCATTTATTGCTCAGAAGACCAAGAATTTCAATTCGGAGAACGTAACAGGAATGGGAAGGAAAGCCAAAGTCATGAGTGACAGATTCCAAGGCATAGAGACTGAGGGAAAAACATGGAGATATGCAAAAAAGTTTTGGAACACAGAATACTTGAGAGAAGAAAAGCAAATTTCTGACCTGGGAGATACTTGTGCATGAAACACAGAAAGCTAGCACATAGGTGCAGCAGGTAATCAGGAAGGCTCATGGAATGTTTACCCTTATTTCAAGGCGGTTGGAGTAAAAGAGTAGGGAACTCTGACTTCAACTGTACAAGCTGCTGGTGAGACCACATCTGGAGTACTGTGAGCAGTTTTGGTCCCCCTTATTTAATGAAGTATTATTTCATTGGAGGCAGTTCAGAGAAGGCTCACTAGGATGATTCCCGGTTTGGAGGATTGTCTTATGAGCAAAAGTGATCTCATTGAAACATTTAAGATTCTTAAATGATTTGACAGGGTGAATACTGTGTGGATGTTTCCCCTCAAGGGAGAGTCTAGGAGAAAAGAGCATAGTCTCAGAATATAAAGGGGTAAGACTGAGATGAGGAAGAATTTCTTCTCTCAGACGATTTGTGAATCTATTGGCATTGAGAGCTGTGGAGGCAGAATACTGTGTTTATTAAAAGCTGAGATAGATAAATTCTTGATCAATATGGAAATCAAAGAATAGAGGGAAAGAACAGAAAAGCAGACATGAAGAATGTTGAATTAACCATGATCCCATTGAATGTCAGAGCAGGGTTGAGGGGCTGAACTCTCTGCTCCAATTTCTTCTGGTCTTCTGTCTAACTGCTCGATGGTCAGAGTCCACTCTAAGTGATTAACCATCTCTTCAACTTTTCACTACGCAACATAAGTGAGAGACAGGCAAAAACAAAAACAACGGCTAGAGAAGAACAAAGAGAAAAAACATAGAATGTGCGAGATAGAGTGTGGGAGACAGTAGAATGAATGGAAAGGAGCAGTGTGACCAATAGCTGAAAAGTGTGAAATTGAAGTGAATTAGAACAGAGCAAGCATAGGGTATTGAACTGAGAGAAAGAGAGAGAGAGAGAGAGTAACCAAGAGAGTACTATGGTGTACAATTTAAAAGGAAGAGACAAAGTTGTAGAGTAACAGAGAACATATGTGAGAAATAGAGGGAGAACAGGGGAATTAGAGGAATAAAGAAATCTAGATGAACATATGAAAGACATAAACCAAATGGAGGAGGAGAAACTCTCACACAGTGTGAGGTGGGGAAAAGAGTTAGGAAGGAAAAATCGAGACTGAGCTGCAGAGCTTCTCAAGTCTGCTGATATTCTTAAATTAACACTTTGCAACAGGACAATACTCAGTTCCAATACCAGCAGATAATTCGTGTGCAACTTACCAAAGAAGCTGTCAGGTAACAAGTAAGTTATTGAATAATTTGCAGTCCTATTGACATCCATGATCGGTTCAGCAGAGCCAGTGAAGTCCAGACACTCCGAGCTCTCAGCTCAACAGGCGAAATGAAAGAAGTCACCTCTCAGTGATGAGAAAGAAGTTTTCCTTTTTTGTTCAAAAACAAAATTGGACTGTTTGTTGGAATGGAAACTTTGCTGCAGTGGTCTTCCTGCTTTTGTACTGAAATTAGTAACTGCCCACCTTATCAGTGTTAAACACTGTGTTGAGAGAATGTGGCCATTTCCTTGGTATCATTTCCTCTAATAGAAATTATTGCACTTATAGACACAAGGGAAGGGCTGAAATGTGGAAGATACAGCAGTCAAATATCTTTCTCGGCACATATTGAAAAAAATAAACGTTAGGGCACTTGTTTGCTCTGGGCGGGTACCGTAAATGTCCATTATTATTCTGCTTTTGAATGAATCTATTAATACCAAATAACTGCTTGAGTGAGGTACTGGAAAATGACCTCTACCTATACCAGGGAACAGCCTTCGGGACAGGAGCAGTGTTTTCAAAACAGAATAGCAGGAACTGAAAGCATAAAAAAATTTCTGCTTTGGAACCCTGGAAATCTTCCAACCCTGTGATTGGATTTTTAGGTTCTGCAGAATTTTACCAAGGTTGCAGAGTTAGTGGGAATGAACTGGAGAATGAGACTAATGGTATCATCTCTTTCAAAGGGCTGGCATGGTTAGAATGGGTTGAAAGGCCTGCTTCTTATATGAATCTGTGAATGGATATTTTTTGGGTTGGAGGAAGATTTGTAGTGGAATTCATCAGGGCTGTGTACTAGGATCTTGCTTTTCCTAATCTATACATTAATAATATGGAATTTGGTGTGCAGGAGACAATTTTAAAGCTTTCCCATGACACTAAACTTAGAAGAATTATAAATTGTAAGATGGACAGTGTGGAACTCCAAAAGAACATTGACAAGTTGGTTTACTGGGCAGATAGGTGGCAGATAACTTTGAATGAAGAGAAATGTGAGATGACGTGCTTTGTTCAGAAGAGCATTGAAATAATCTAAAATAAAGGTTACAATTCTAAAGGATTATGGGGACAGAGTAACCTGGGTGTGTATGTGCACAGGTCATTGAAGATGACAGGACAGGTGGAGACAACAGTTAACAAAACATACAATAAGACCATAAGACTGTCAGAAATATACACAGGAGTAGGCCATTCAGCCAATCGAGCCTGTTCAATAGGATCATAGCTGATACAACAATCCTCAGGCATACTTTCCTGTTTTATCCTTGTAACCCATGGTTCCCCAACTGATCAAGAATCAAACTCAGCTTTGCATAGATGCAAGGTCTCTGCCCCCACTCTGTGGCAGGGACTTCCAATGACTCTCAACCATCAGAGAGAAGAAATTCCTGTACATGTTCTTGGCTTATTAATAGGGGCATAGAGTACAAGAGCAAGGAGGTGATATTGAACTTGTACAAGACATTTGTTAGACCACAGCTGTGTTACTTTGGATGGTTCTGCATGCCACACTATCGGGAAGGCATGAATTCATTGTACTGTGTGCAGAAGCAATGTATAAGAATGGCTTGACAATGAAAAAAACTTATGAGGCTGGATTAAAGATGTTGGGATTGTTGTCTCAGAGATAAGAACACAAGGACAGGAGATCTGATAGGGGTTTTCAACAACATGAGTGGCTGGATGGAGTAGATAGGGAGAAGCTGTTCCTACTCATAGAAGTAAAAAGATTGAAAGGGCATAGATTTAGAGTGCAGTGCAAAGGATGCGAGGGTGAAGTGAGGAAAAATCTTTTTCACACAGCAAGCCGTTCCCATCTGGAATGCACAACCTGGAAATGTGGTAGAAGCAGGTTCAACTGAGGTTTTCAACAGGGATATTGGATGGTTATTTGGATAGAAAAGGCGTGCAGGGATATGGAGAAAAGGTGGGAGATTGGTACTGCTTAAAAGAACAGGAGCAGGCACCATGGGCTGCATGACCTCCTCCTTCTGTGCCAGAACAATTCTGTGATGTTGTAAGATGTGGTCTCACCAAATGCACATATAACAGCAGTAAGACATCCCCAGTCAGGTTAGATACCGAGAATCACTTTCCTCTGATGTGATCATCTGGAACGCAAGGCACAATCTTAAAACGAAAACTAAAATCTTAAAGTTAAAGCTAAATTTCAAAATTAAGGTGAGAAATGGAACCAGGAATCATTGGGTGTTCACTAGAATACTGAAGATTGAGGTTGGTAAATTTTAGTTGTGTATGGATACCAGAGGAGACAATGCATGTAGGTGGGTTCTGAGGAAGGGTCACCAGACCTGAAACGTTAACTCTGATTTTTGACTCTGCCAGACCTGCTATGTTTTTCCAGAAACTTCGGTTTTTGTTGCATGTTTGTGAGGTTGGGGTAAAAAAATTGATTAAATTAAACATTGCTGAAATAACTCCACAGAGGCCGGTAACCCATCACCAAGTCACCCTTTATTTACACATGGAAAGTCCTTGACACTGGTCCAGCTCCCTCAGAGTGTGAGAATGTCTGATGTTCCTTCTTCTATCTCTCTCCCTGATTGGATCAGATTAACAGTTCCATTCTGGGAACTCTTATTCTATGTTATCCAGCTGGCTGACCTTGTTATAATCACTACACTTGGGTCAAACTTGAGGAACTGAAAAAGGAATCACTTTACATTTTAGTGCTTTTTTTTTAAAACATTTGAACATTTATAATTCTTCTGTAAACTTTCAGAAGAATTACAAATTATTAATCATGCTTGCCTCCTTAAACCCTGACTCGTGACACATAATCTAGTCAGGATATTACAGACTACTGCACTGTATGTCAACAGTATACTGACTCTGCAAGTTACGTGTCTGACTAATAGAGAGATGATGGCATAGTGGTAAACTCATCAGACTGGTGACTGTGGAGGCTCAGGCTAATCTTCTGGGGAGACTGGTTCAATACGCACCAAGGCAGCTGGCGGAATTTCAGTTTGTTTAATAAATGCTGGAATTGAATGAAGAAACGCATCAATTGTCATTAACTCCACTTCCCTCACCCCCTCCCCCCAATGTGGTTCACTAATGGCCTGTAGGAAAGGAAGATGGCATCATTTACCTTTTTGTATATTACTTCATGGGATGTTGGCATTACTGGCTTAACATTTATTGCCCATTCTTAATTGCCCTGGTCAGAAGTAACCTAGTTAGATGTAACTCCAGGCTGTGGATGAGAATTTGAAATTTTATAACATTCAAGGCTGTGGGCCAAGTGCTTGAAAGTGGGATTAGGGCAGATAGGTAAGTGTAGATTTGAAGGGCTGAATGGTCTCTTCTGTGCTGTATGACTCCAGACCCCCAGCAATGTGGTTGATTTTTAACTACCTTATGAAATGGCCTGGCTAGGCACTCAGTTCAAGGGCATTTAGGGAAGGGCAACAAATGCTGACCTTGCCGGTGGCACCCACATTCCATGAAAGATGAAACAGGAAAAAAACACTGTCTCAGGGCAAACTTCATCAAGGTAATCAGTATAAGCAATAAACTGACATCCTGAAAGAGAACATGACAAAATTCTCTATTGCAGGCCATCTCACTTGGGACAATCTTAAACAGACCTGCCCCTGTGGAGGTGAGAACTAAAACTTGGTTCAGCTTCTTTGCAACTTTGGTGGAAATGGTTATCAAAGTTCCCACATGCCCAGAAGAAGTGTAGAAGTGACACAGCATCAACAACAATAACATTGATGACCCGTTCTGTGGTTACCTCTGCTGATCTCGTATGGCACTCTCCAGTCATGAGAAGATCCACAGAATTATGGGCATACTTGAGCAACAGACAGCCTACCATAGGGCCAGAGAGTGGTTGCTATCTCCCCTATCTATGCCCTCATAATCTTGTACACCTCAGTCAAAACTCCTGCCTCATCCTTCTCTGCTCTAAGAAAAACAATCCCAGACTATCTCCGTGCACTTCATTGATAACTCTGTTGTCTGAGATCATCTTTCAATGAGACATTAGAGACATAAACGGACTGATCTAAGCCTGTTCCTATCATGCTTGTTCCATCATTCAATTAGCTTTCAGATTATTGATAGATGGATTAGAGAGAATATGAGGAAAAATATTTCCCTCCTGTGGGAGGTGGGTATTTGGAAATCACTGCCTGTTTAAAAGGTATCTGAAGCACTGTGAGCTACAAGGCTAGGGAAGGGATCTAAATGTGGGATTAGAATGGACAGGTAGTTTGGCTTTCTCTCCCTGCACAGATGCAATGTGTAGAATAGTCTCTTTCTGCGCCGTCTTTTTTCCATTGGCTGATGGCTAATCATTCACCTCAATAATCCTTTCCTGTTCTATCCCTGTATTCCTTGATGCCAAAAGCTTCTGCCTTAAATCCGCTGAAAGATTGAGCTTCTCAGCCCTCTGAGGCTGACAATTCAAAAGATTTACCACCCTCTGGGTGAAGAAATTCATCCTGATCCCAGTTGTAAAGTGGCCTATGTCTTATTCTGACACTATGTCTCTGGTTCTAGGTTGATCATCCACGGGAAATATCCAATCCACATATACCCTGCCATGCTTTTTGTGCATTTTGTAAGTTTCAATGAAATCACCTCTAGTTCTTTGAATATCTAGAGAATACAGGTCCAGCCTCCTCAATCACTTTTCAAAGAAATCCCACCATCCCATGGATTAATCTGATGAACCTCATTACAATCCCTTTATGCCAAATATATCCTTCCATACATAAAGGGACCACAACTGTACACAGTACCCCGGGTGCACTCTCATCAAGATGTTCTATACTGTTGCAGCAAGACATCTTTACTCCTGCACTGTAAGCACCCGCCCCCGAACACAAGGTGAACTTCCTGATTTTTGCACTTGCGTCTTTTCTTTTGATGACTCGTGGACATGGATATCCAGGTCCTTGATTACCAACATTTCACAATCTCTCACCAATTAGTTGAGTAGATTGGCCCTATATTCATTGGAATAGAGATGAATGAGAGGCGACATTATTGAAACATACAAGATTTGTAGGGAGCTTGACAGGGTACATGTGGGAAATTTGTTTCCCCTTGTGGCAGAGTCTAGGACCAGAGGGCATCATTTCAGAACAAAATTTT